TGGAGTAAGCTCCTGCAGGTAATCTAGGATCTTGACAGTATTGATATATTTACTATATATCCACACCAATTATTCACGTCCTGCAAACTTCAGCTATTCAGATAACAGAATATGTGTACTTGCTTATTATTTGATATAAAAAAAGACCTCAATAATTAACAATCACACATCGTGTTTGGCCACTAAATTGCATGAACTTGTGAAAAAAATAATTGCTAGAGAAATACGGACATCTGATGATAAATATAAATCTAAGACTAGGCAAACTAGATTTAGCTTGTGCTTTAAAAGTACTTACTGCAAGTAAGCAGACTTTTTTTTCAGTAGGTATCAGTATCTCAGTCATGCTAAGAGATTGCACTATTTATACATACGTGTACGTATGCACACAGTTATATGCATATATATTCTATATGCATTTGAAATATTTTTGAATTTATATATATTTAACCAACACCCCAAAACAGGCAACTGTGGCTAGATTTTGGCAGGAAAGAATCAGCTTCCAGCATAAGACATTTGAAATAAACACACATATAGCCGGCAAAGGTGGCACTATCTTATTTAACAGCTTGCTTGGACATGCATTTAAACCTACTATCTGCCATGAAGAAATTCAACACTTATCAAACACGCTACTGGATTATCACAAATGGCCAACTAGTAGAAGCCACAATTGAAAAATAACTACATTTATTATTCTTTCTATATAAAATTCCTTTCATTAATGCTCAGCAACACGCATTTGGCAGCTGAACATTTTTTTGAAGCAGCAGTTAACAATGCAATTCACAAAACAAAGATAAGCTCAATGGTTTCCAGGAAACTGAAAGATGAAAGAATGTGGAGAGAGTCAGCCATGGTTTCAAATGAAGAACAAGTGAACTAAGGTCAAACTAAAACCTAAAAGAAATTCAGCAAGGGCCCAGAAACCACAGTACAGATACATTTCAGTTGGATTGAAATTTCACAATGCATTTCAACAATGCATACAATACATTCTTTGGTATATTAATTCACTGGGGACAATTTTTTTTTCAAAATAAAGGAGGAACAGATTCCAAAGCCCTTAGTTTCATTACTTCAAGCATAATATTTAGCAGATTTTCTGGGTTTTATATTGATTGTAAAGTATGTTAAAGTATTATCTTCCAGCCTTGTTTAGTGTGCTCAGTTCCAGACTTAGCTGAAACCACAAAGTTTCACATCACACATGAGGTTAAGGTGTAGTGAAGGATTCCATAAATGTTAACATTTCAGAAGCCAGCACCTACTAAATAGCCTGCTCCAGAAGTTTGGTAATGTATTCCTCTCCCTTGAAGAGAAGGTCAGAGTAAAGTTACCATTATAGAAATCCACTTGAATAATTCATTTTGCAGGAGTAGAAGAAATACAGCAAAAAAGTAGATTAATCAAGTTACCTTTATATCTACTGTAAGTTACTCCCTAACACACAGAGCTAAAATTCTGCTTAAAATATCCCTAATTTCCACCTAGGAAACAAAAATGAAAAAAAGAAACAACAACAAGAGCAAGAAGATATTTTATCTGAGGGATTTTTTAAAACATATTTTTTAAAGTCATCTCTCAGACATTAAATTTGTAAAATACTATATTTTAAAATTATAAAGCCCAGTATCATCATGCATTCAGAAATATCATTCCTAGCTGCTGATAAATCACTACTTCTACTCAGAGCGGAGAATTTATTTCCAGTTTTACGCAACAAATTGCAGTGGTTCAGGAAAGAGTAAAGGAGAAATTTAAATGCAATGTGAACTTTAAATAGACAATTTAATTAGCTACGCTAGAAAAAAACTGAACATCGAAAGCTGCACACCTGGAATTCTGCCAAAAGTGAAAGGCAGTTTGTCACAACCTGTATTTTACACCACAGAAATGACAACATTTTCATCAGTAATAATGTCCTCTAGACCCATGCCTAGGCATTCTTCCTCTGACATACAGTGAAGAGTGCCACCTATTGAATAACAAACAGTATTTTCAGAAATAATTAAATTATTCTGGAAACATGCCATCTATGTACTTCTCCCCTCAAGCCCCCAAGCCCAGTATTCAGTTTAGCTTTTCATCACGCAGTTTCCTGGCAGACAGCAGTTTTGCTGTTGTTACAGAATTGATGGCCAAAATATTACTTTGGTACAGAAACAAGGTGCTCAATCCACACTGCACGGGTTACCTGATTTTTAGATATTCCCACACCAAATAAGAAAAATTTTATTCAGTTATGTATGTTGCATCTGAAGGAGATACCATGTTGTTTTTTCCAATCTTCTCTGGTAATAACTGTATTTTCCAGAAATAAGATTAGATGGTATCAAGGACACAAAACTAAAAGCAGTATATTTCTGATGGCTGTCGTTTGTTCATGCAAAAAAGTGCACATTCTCTATATAGTTTACTGTTAGAAGGAAAAACCTACTTTTATTCAGAGCAGAATACTTCTTTACTTACACTGGGAATCAAAATATCTCACAGAGGACCTAAAGCACAAATATTTCATATATATATGGTATGATCTCAGAATCATGCTACAGAGCAGCAACTGACAATAAGACACATACTGTCCCCCCGCCTTGAAGAAGCTTTACCAGGTGCTGCATAGCACACAGCAATGCTAGTCTGGCCAGGAGTTACCCATTGGTACAGAGGACATATTCTATGTTTATAAACACTGTAAATTGATAGACTGTAATGTTAATTTAGATTTCTAAATACAGACAATCTAGCCAAAGAAAAATGTGTGGTATGTTGCAAGTGTCTGCATGTAATGGGATACCAAACAATACTGCTATAACCCAACCAAGACTTCAGACTTGGAACTAACCCATTTATATTCCAAATATTTGAATGAGTCAGCAGCCCACTGCATTTCCCAGGCCCGCTGCAGACTATCATACAGTTCCCAGACGCACTTCCTCAGATTGTGTTTGTCTCATGAACAAGGTCACTAGTGACAAAAAGTGATATAAAGGTCAATGACTTGGAAAAGATGACAACACGCAGACTTTATTTCAGCTGTTTACCCATTAACCTATTCAACATACTGAAGCTCCACAGAATTCCTCCAGTTACTTGCCTCCCATCTTTTAACTGCCTAACATAATAGACGTATTAAAATAAAGTCCTACTGTTGTTTTGGTACTATGAGCAGGTAAGAACTAAATATGTTGCCTCACTGTAGTGAAACACACATACAAGTGAATGGCCTCTGAAGCAACCACTGTCTCCTTGTCTTAAATCTTTGTTCCCATGCTCCATAAGTACATAAAATTAACTGATGACACAAGGAATGTGTAAATTACCCTCCCCCCCCCTCCCCCCCTCCCCCAAACCAAAGACTAGATATCTGTAGTTGAATACAAATTACCTTTAATCCTGCTAGAAGTCTAATCACATTGGCTATGCAGTTCCAGCACCGCCAGCATAAACCCTGCTTATGCAGATAGGGGCTGAAGTTTTTGCAACTGTAGTGATAGTGCTATCACTAATGGAGATTATATCACTGCGGTTATGCTGCTGTCTGAATCACTTTCGATCCTCACTGGAGATACATTTCTGAGGGTGATAAAAGATAACTGCAACAGTATTTGTCCTAATTCGGGTTACTGCAGAAGGTAAGTCTACTGCTGAATAAAGACCTCCACAAGCCAAAGGATGGATTTTTGGTTTGACACAACAAACATATATTAAGTTTTCAAATTCCATAGCCATGAAAAATTACTATTTTTTTCCTTCAATGTAGTGATAACAAAGAAAGATTACCACCTGAGAAATGCATAAAAATTCTTGATCCTTTTCCTTGTAGAATCAAATAATCATCAGACTGGGGAGGGGACATATCAGGAGGTCTCTACTCCAATCTATTGCTTAAAGCAGAGTCAGCTATGAGATCACATCAAATACCTTATGGCTTTGTCCAGACATGTCTGCAAAATTTTCAACGATGGAGACTTCCAGTCTCTTCGTGCAACTTCCATCCCATTCCAACCCTCAGAAGTTGCTTTTATTTTCTTTAAATCCAGTTGGAACTTCTCAGTTTCAATTAATGTTTTATGTTTTTTCCCTACTTTCTCTTCTGTGTAGGCTGCTTTGTAGCTCTTCAGCACAGATCAAAAAGCACATTACAATGCATATTTAAAAACAAGTAAAATATTTTTACTTGAGATTTCCCTGCCACTAGTTTTTAGTTAAATTTCCTTATTTTAACTTGAGAGTAATTTAATAAATTATACTAATTGAAAGAGAGAAGAATAGTAATATATTAATTGAGAGAAGCACGTAAGCTTTGGTTTGTGAGTCCTGGCTCTATGACTTAGCAACTAACATAACTTCTGCCAACAATAACAACAATATTAATAATAATGTAACAATAGGATCCTCTTGGATTTTAAATTGCCTTTTCCCTACTCGCTTTTAGTCAAAGTAGTAATAAGGATGAGATGTGATGTACTTATTCTAAAACAGTAATGATGTTTACTAGCTTTTTGCTTACATGGTCCTATTTTAAAGGTCCTTGCACCTATGAAATTCATGTATTTCATGAAAATTAGGTTACAAAAATACAGTAAATGAATTCAGCAAAACTGAATCACAAAATAACTTTGTGTATACAACGTTCCCACCAGACCTGGTCCTTCAAAGAACTCTGGATTATATGAGACATAAAAAAAATAAAAAATCTTTCTAGGATATATTGATACATGATTGTTTATGCTATCCCCCTCTGGGGAGGAAGAGAGGATAATAATTTCTTTCACTTTGAAAGACACTATATTAATGGAAAACACATATTAACAGCTGAAAAATATGTTTCCCAGATTAAGAAAAATTATTTGAGACTTCCTTGTGTATTTCTTTGGAGATTCCTTCAGAAATTTACACAAGGATGCAGAATTTGATTTTAAGACACATGGAATGATAAACTCCAAAGTTTTCAAAATAAGGAGAAAAAAATACGACAAAAATAGGAAACTTACAAGATTTCTCTCCAGGGATTTCAGCTGATGATCTATTTCTTTCAGACGATTTTGTTGATCACGTTGTTCCTTATTGTCTCGCAGAACCTTTTCACCTGGAACTGCTTCTAGATTTCTGTTTGCATAAGCCAGAGACTCCTGACAAAAAAAAAAGAATAGGCAGAAATTCAACAAATGACTATATTGTTTCAAAGGCAGATGAGTGATCCTTTGGTTTCTATCAGGAAAACATTGAAATGGTTAGATTAATGTATCAGTTTCAAATTTGGGAAATGCCTAATTTTCATTATGCACATTTTCAAATACAATAGTTAAATGTAAGGCTTGACTTACTTCAGTAAAACAATTCTTCATCTTTGCATTTTAAGAGGAATGTCTTAAGTCTCCAGAGCTAACACTTTGATGCTTAAATTCTACTACAACAAAAAAAAATGCACTGAGACTGAATGAGAAATTCAAAGCTTGCTCCTGAGATTAGAATTAGGCCAGAAGGGAAAGGAAGAATTGAACTGAAATTACTGTAGGTTTTATTTACTAGATATCATTGTAAATAAGAAATAACCTTCTCTTGTAAGCTGAAGTCAGATGCACAACCATTATTAAAGGTTTGGCTTACACATTCTGACTTCCTCCAGTAGCTTCAGAGCAGATTCTCAAGTTTGTATCAGTCCTGAATACATTCACGGTTCAATATTACATGTAATGTAGATTATTAAGAATTACAAGTATTGGGAAAACAACAAAGTTATATTGTAATTGGAAAAAAAAACAAACAGAACTTTCTCTTGCAAACCAAAGATCCTATAGAAGAACTCCAGGAATGCAAATAATGGTAGAGGGAAAAAAAAAAAAATCAACCTCTGTTAGTCAATTCAACCCAAAGGAACATGGGCAATGATTTAATAAAAACACACTGTATTCATTCTTATTTTCAGAAGCAACTGAGGGGATCTTAATAAACACACACTAGGAAAAGAATTTCAAGTGGCATGTCTAATTGGAAAGAAAAACAACCTTTGTAATTCAACATTCAACAGAAAATTTCTCAATTACTCAATATAAAAAACTGCAAGCATCTGTAAACAACTTTTTCTAAATATCAACCAAGTCTATGAGTTCTAACATTTAAATCATATTATTAGGTGCCTGAAAATAAACTTATTTTAACACAGTACACATCTTTGAATATATATTTACAATCAGCAATAGCTGGCAGTACTACAATGCCACTAAATTTTCCTATAACAGAATGAGATTTAAACAGCCCACCTATTAATGACTAGAATCTCTCCAAACTGGACTGAAGTTTAATGTGGGCAACCAAAAGCCAAATTCTTAATACAGAGTGTCTAAAGCTAGGTAAAGACGAGGTAGAAAATCAAACTGCTAGATATGCTACACAAGGGAAGATATAAGTACTCAGCAACAGCCAAAGCTGTAACAATCATCATGCAAAGCAGAAATGTCAAGTTTTTGAAATGGCTAAAGGATTTGCTTAATTCCCTTTTCTCCAAAATTCTATAAGTAAATAAATTTAAAAAATAAATCCTATCTAATGAAAGATAGCAGTCATACAATCTTCTTGAGCCACAAAATCGGCTGATCAGTTTATTAATCAGCTTCTAACCATTCCCCGAAATAGACATATCTGTCAAAAATCATCTGTTTTGGTGAAGTGCAGCCATAGAGCACAGGCTATCAAAGAGCTCATTAATCAAAATTCTAGTGTATCTTCAGAATTTTTTATAATTACGAGTATTGATTTAGTTTTAAACTTAACTATATTTTACTGCTATAATTGAAAAATGGAATATTTTTCTGATAAAAGAAACCCAATCGGGAAGGAAAGAACTCATCAAGGTAATACACAACACTAAATTATCTTTATAAGACAATCAAGCAGACAGGTATTATTGTTTCTTTATTCTTCTTTAAACACAGTCTCCATTTCCTTTTATTTTCAAGTAGTTTTCCAGTTTTCAAGCTGGTAGCTGTACTCATTCCACACAGTCTTACACTTCAGATTCTTCATCCTACCGTTTTCCTCTCTTCCAGGATTACATTCAACTTAATTTGTTTGTCCCCAAAAATGTTATGAAGACAGAAGCATTTGTAAATATTTAATTAAGTTGGCACCAGAGCAAAGAAACGTTTCGGAGAGAAATAAAGTTCTGATGAGAAACACTTCTATGTAAAAGAGAAGATTAGTCATGGAAAAGCATTCTGAATCCAGCAGGACTCATTGCACAAAACAGATGAATCTGTATGCGTCTCTGTGGCAGCTCAGCTATGGTACTGTAGGATAATTAAAGCCAGTTGTTAAAGATTTCAGAGTCAGAACATAGTTCCTATATCCTGCCAAAGTATCTACCAGGGCAGAAAGCAGCTTTCCCATTGAGCCAGTCGTGGTTAAGTGTTTGCATTTCACAAGTTGTATCTAATGCAATTCCTGGAAGAAAAGAAGCAGCTTAATGATATGCATCTCTAAGCTACTTTTGTTTTACTTCTAAAATTTTAAATGAAAACCCAAGCAGATGATTTACACACTAACATTTTTTCCCAATGTTCCCCACCACTAATACCTTATACCCTACTCAATTACAACAGAAGAAATTCACATCTCATGGAAATCAGAAAGAATTTAAGCACTGATTTTAGAAGAAAAATTAATGCCACTGAAATCAGCCTCTTCTCTAAATGAAAGGAGATCCACATTCTAAATTTGACTTGTGTTCCATAACAACTAGAATAATTCAAAATAAATTCTGTACTTTACAGATTTTTGTAGCCTTCTCCTGGAACCTTAATTTAAAAAAAAAAACAAATTCCTAAGAAAAAAAAATATTGCAGTGCATTCAGATTTGCATTCCATAGTATCTGCGCCAACATCTTTATCTAGCAATTAAGTTTACAGAATTTAGCTCAGTTATGGGAGAAGTAGTGATACAATCTAAGCTAAAGCTCTGAATAAAAGAAAACAATAGCAATTTATCTGAGAATTCAACAATACTAGATTACCACTATAGGTTTTGAATACTACAGGCCCCCCTCCCAGTCTCACCAACAAATATTTTGTTTCTCACAATGTTTAGAGAATATGAATGAGGGTTAATAAATAAGACAATCCCTGCATATTTAATTCACCCTATTAGTAAGCTAAATGTGTCCCACTTCTAACTGGTTTTACAGAGGATAACAGCCTGATAGCTAGTTTTCTTCCTCATTTAGCTGCTGTGATCAACTGAAGAAACAACTGAAAATCTTGTCATTCAACACATGAAATTAAACCCAACAAGGGGCAGATAACCAGAACTCTTACTGCCTTGTCTTGCACGTGGCATTCATGGCATTCATGCTAACATATCACAAAACAAGATCTTCTTTTAGCAAAAAACATCATTCAATTAATTTCTTCAGACCCTTTCTGGGTAGGTATCAGTTGCCTTTGATCAGGTTCCAAAAGACATTCAGTACAAAGAATTCTGATATTGCTCTGTGATCTACCTATTTTCTGATTTCAGAGCTGATGCTTCAAGAATAATAACAAGGTTTTTTAAAAGCAAATTCATTAAAACTTCCAGTTTATAACAATTTTAGGGGATATTGATTGTGACAACCACGGCTGTTTTAAAAAGACTGTGAGCAACAATGAACTCAGAACAACTACTTATATAAAAAAAACATGTCATTTTTTATGCCTTTTGACAGGAAGCTCTCTAAACTCAACGCAGTCACTAATTTCCCAGCTACTGCTGCATGTTACTTCCTGTTTTTTTGAAAAAGTAACTGTTAAAGGAATTTGAAAACAAAAGGTGTTGAGAATGAACATGCATAATCAAATTCAGAACCTGACCTGTTGTTATTGCCATGTATGAATTTAAGAGTGATTTTTTACCTACCAAAACAACAATAACCAAGAACATAGGACTAAGGGCTAGACCTGGTCCTAATCTTCTACAGTAAGTAGTCAAGTTCCTGAAAGTTGAGACTATTATTTTCTCCTCCAGCTACCATTAACAAAAAAAAATTGGCAGCTGGAATTCTATGTAAATACAAACAAGCCCAGTCATGTCGGAGTGCCAAATTGCACCTACCAAATCAGGCTTCATGAAGAATTTAACACTGACTTGCCTGAAGTCAGGATCAAAATGAAACTAAGGCAACCACTAGACACACTGTCCTCTGCTGAAAGAAATGGCTCTGGACATGCAGAGAAGCAGGGATGAAGGCACCTCCAGGATTTTGGAGTCAACTGAGGAGGCACATGGAAATCAAGACACTTCTGGAATTTGAGAGCTGCAGAGTGGGAGAGCTTGCTTTTGTTGTTTGTTTTGTTGTTTGCTTTTAAATTAGTTTTGCATTTATGCAATTAGTGTCCTTCTAAATGCCGTTTTAAATAAATACAGCCTCCCACTCACTTCAATTTATATTTATTCTGTTTAGGTCTTTCCCTAAATTTATAAAACCACTTTTAAATAGTCCTGTTCTTTGATAGCTTTCGTTAAAATGACTCACGTGTTTATCTGAACAAAACAAAAAATGACAAATGGAATCCTCTACGTGTTTCCTGGAACTACAATGTCTGAAAGCCTTTTACATGCTGGAAAACAAAGTTGAAGGGCAATTGCTTTTCACTAATGAAGGGTAATTTATAGAAACTCTTTTTGGTTGTTAAGTTTAAAATTGTTCAAAAAAGTTAACACATTACTCTTCAATAAGCATGGACAGAAATACAAGTTTCTATTCAAATACTTCCATGCTTTTACCTGAAAAGGAAGCAACTGCTTGGACAAACACTCCCAAACAGCGTTATCATGGGCAGTCGCACTAACTTCAAGCTGAGGTCTCACTCATCACAGCAAACACAAGCTCCAGCAACCATTGGCAGCTCAGGTGCCTGAACCTCAAGTTACCGGGTGATAACTGCATTGGTGTCAGTGATTACCCACTAGAGGGAGTCGCTGTTTCACACATTAAATCCCAGTTGGTGAATAATCACCATCAAAATGTGACTCCCCTGGAACAGTCAGAACAACCGAAAATACTACCATAAGCAGAACAAAACCTGAAGTTCAGAAAGAAGTCGACACAAAAAGTGCCATTAATTGCTCTTTAGAAAAAGAAAAATCCTACAGTTACTTAGCCATTCAAAGAGATGTTTTTCATACACGGGTAACTGAAAACGTAGTTTTGCCAACGTACACTCTTACAGAGTCTCTGGCTATAAACCGTAAATTTTACAGAACTAAACAAGTTTTGTGCAAATCAGTGCAAAATAGGAATTTTGGTATTTTATGTTGTACTTCCCCCATTATATCAGGGGCAACATCACTGGGACACGGGATAAACTGGAGTCTTTTATGTACAAAATTCTAACAATCATTTCTCAAGGCTGAGATCCCAAAGGCTGTCAATATCACTGGCAAGGAAAAAAGACAAAGGCCGTTAAAGACAAGGGACGTACAATTTCAATTGATTTTCTGCAGTCTTTAACATTGCTTATTGGTAATTGCTTTATCTTACAGATTAAAAAAGAAAAGGCACTTTTGGAACCCTGAAGTAAAAAGAAACCTAAATCTAATTCCCAAAGATTAATTATCATGGGTAATGTGTCACTATGCTGACAAAACCACTGAGGTCTTCATGCAGTTAAAAACATCTGAGTTACCAATTCCTGCATATAAAATTCCTTGTTGAAAGTGTGGAATCAACAAACGTTAAAAACAAGACAGTCTTTGAATATATACCACTCAAAATCACAACATACTATTTTTCAGTGTGATTTCTCTAACCAAAGATTTCACTTCATTCTTTAACACATATACTTTGAGAACAAAAAGAAGACAGCTGAAGAAAATGCAAAAAATACAGATGCAATACAGATGCATGCTATATTTTGTTAACATCAACACACATTTCAAACAAATCTGCAACATAAGCTCTATCCTGTAATATACCTGATAAATCTGGCTTGGTGTTTTTGAGCAAGAGCTAGAAATCACAGAAAAATCTTCATCAGATAGGAGTACTTGAAGCTTAATGTCTATCTCACTGAGGTGATGAAATTCCATCGGTTCAGGTGTGTACCCTTCTCCTGGTGCTAGCCAGCCAGATACATTCTCCTATTGAAAGATACAGAAAATATTTAATCCTGATTCTCAAAGTAAACAGAATATAAAGGCAGTTACACATCAAGTGTATTTCTTTTTCAAATAAACTATACTTAAGAATAAAATGTAAGTTTTCATCCCACACAGTATATAGCTGAAATCTGCCAATATTCACGTACCATGCACACTCAAAAGCAGGTATGGACAAAATAGTTAAAGGCATACATTTTCCAAGCAGCAACTTGAATGGACTTTAAAAATATGTATTTCATTTTATTATTAGAAAGGACATGCATCTACATGCACCGTTAAAAGGCAATACCATAAAAGATGTTGTGTTAACCTAAAAAGACTTCTGCTATTATTTTACTTATTTCTATAAAAGTCCAAAGCCTCTGTTCTCATTGACTGAGTACTCAGAAGCCCTTAAATAAATTTGCTTAAAGCTAGATGCTTCATCTCCATGCCAGCTGTCCAAAGAGCAATCAGACAGTTCCCAAGTTCCCCATCCATTCTTCTGAAGGTTATGCCGCTCCCTTGATCAAGTTTTCTTTATGCATAAGAGAAGAGCTTTGGATAGCTAACCCCTTTTCCTTAATGATGCATCTCACTTTACAGCCTCTTAGCCAAGTTAGTCAAAGCTTTAAAACAGTCTCATGTCAAGCCGTGCCATGCCTATGGATGTCATGCTATGCCATCCTTCCATGGATACAAACTCCTTTCTTCCTGCAGTTTCTCTATTTGCTCAATATAACAGTCCCAGCTCCAATATTGGAGAGGGCCAGCATCTTGCCCTAAGACTTCAACGTCTGTCTTGCAAGGAATTCATGTCCGCCACTCCTTTACAGCTTCCAGATCAGTCCTCTGGCTACTCAAGCAGCCACATCCACACAAGAGGAGGAAATATCAGCTTCCAATTACAATACCAGTGCTATGAGGTCATCCCTGGTTCATCCCCATTACCCTAAAGCACAGTGGCTGCAAAAAGAAAAAAAGCATACCCCAAACACATGTTATAAGTTACCTCCATACTAAAGTAAAAAATAAAAAGAGTCATCTCTTTTGTGAAACAATCAGTTCTTCTAATGGTTTCTCATACAAGTACAATGACACAACCAGTAAGCCTGACCGGACATGACCCAACACCAGAAGAGTCACTCAGAAATGCCTCTAGAAGGTTGCCAGCTTTGTGGAAGCATCTGTTCAGGTGATATGGGGACCATATAACAAAAGTATCCGATGTGGTAATACACTTGTCCTGTGTTAACCACCCCCTAATCAGATGCTGAAGTAATGAGACATTGAAGGGCACAGTGCAAACACACTGAAATGGCTCTACAGGAGTCAGTTAAGCTGCAACTGGACTCACCAGCTACTGTTCAGTGTCTATAGCCCATGGTCCAAGTAAATTGCTCCGGTATCACTTTACTCCAGGGTTAAATAGACTCACACATTCTCTTTTGTATTTTCAAGATGGCTTTGCTTGGAAAATAAGCCTCTGTCCTGTCAAAGTTTCCTGTGTGTTAACTCAGAACAACACTTTTATAACAGCACAGTCAGTGCTTATTACTGCAGAACATCTGAAACAAATCATACCCCTGCAGCTTTGACAATTCGATTAGCATGACTATGTACTTCTAAAATATTTTAAATACCCATAAAACACTTTTTTTTTTTAAAAAGTGAGAAGTGCTGTTTGGACATTTGACATGTTTAGTAGCATGAGTCAAATAAAGTTATCTAATCCACATCACGTTATACAGAGGAATTCATACAGCATAGCCAGCTCTGCCTTGATTGATAACCTCCAAAACACTACTTTAGCCAATGTGGTTGCTCCAGCTTTTTAAAAGTCAGAATGAAGAAAAATGAAAGTGGCCATCAGCTGGACAGTTACCTGAGCCAGCTTGAAGCAGTCTAGATTACTCATTAGCTGCTAATTTCCTCATGATCTTTGTTACAAAGCAGCCACAGGAAACGCCTCACCCATAATATAATTCAAATGTGGGAGAGGAAGACAGACTAGACAGGTTGAAGTATTATCCTTTTATTCTACTTTGGATGTTTATTCTACTTTGGCTCCTGATTCAGGAGCTGTTTTCTTTAAAGAAATGATCTAGTGCAGACTAGACTAACCCACAAATTATCATTCCCATTTTTGTCCCTTGTATCAAGAGCAACAGAATGACCTGTGTAGTTATCTATTTAACATCTGATATAAATAGTAAAACCTTTATAGATACATGCCCACATCATAGTGACATGTGCCAAATACAGAATCTGGATAAATGGAAAACTTTTCCATTGCCTTGATGTCTTAAAATTGGTGCAAAAAAGGTCACATTGCTAGTCAGAATTTGCATTAGAATTTTGTGAAGGACACTAGCTTAAAGAAAATGAAAACCCAATAACTATATATTGTGAGAGAAGACTTTTGCAATCTGTAAAATAATAAATTCTTTAAAAATTATCTCTAGGTCAGAAAGCTACCATGTTTACTAACAGAAGGCTGTTCGAAACATCTTCACATCTTTAAATGCTGATGGTCCTATCAAATGAAGGACTACCTCCTCAAATTAAACATGTCCTCAATAAGGAAAGAAGAACAGAAGAGATGGTATTGTTAACCAAATACCTACCTTCCCACCAAGGGGAGAAAAACAAACAAAAATCTCACAACTTTCTCCCTACAGTTTGTTCTTATTCAAAGTCTGGATGAAGTACTATTTTAGCTGAACATTTTGTCGCCCTTATGTGGGATTATAATGCCAAACCTGTTGCAAGCATATCTAATAGAGTACCTTGAATCTTTTCCTAAAAGCACAGACAAAAGATCAATCAAATAACGATCCAGTGAGCTTTCGTTTTGTCCTTCTAATATACAACAGATTACAAGTACACTAAAAAACAAATTCCTAACCAAAGAGACCAAAGATCCTTCCACTGCATTTTTTTAACGCTGAACTATGTCAGCAAGTCAAATATCTCTGTGCAATAACTGTTAAGTATCTTACACAGACAAATAAGCCAATCTACAAGCTCAGTGTTCACGTCCAAAAAAAATAAATAAGCTTTCTATGTAAAGCAAGGGAACAATTGTCGGGTCAACAGGAAGACTGATGGAATTTTACAGAAGTCAAAGTTTTTAATCTCATGAACACAAGGGCTGAGTGGTTTAATTGCCGATAATCTCAAACCTTTGCATACTAATGATCAGCAAAGGTTATGTTTCCTGTGTGCTGTGCTTCTACTTTAGCTTAGCAACTGTGAAAGAACAGTTACTGTTAAAATACTGCAAATTTATATAACCTTAGTCATTTGTCCATCAGATTTTCCTGACTGATATGGACTCCTTCACTTGTATTTGCCCCACAAAGCTCTGAAAATGCCAAAACATAGTGTATATTTATTAGTCTCCCTAGAATAAAAAGTTTTGGACCAACCAAATGAGTTTCAAGATAGAAATCATACTGAAGTTGGTTAAATTACAGATTTTTTTCATGTCACAGAAAATGGGTAGGTTTGTTCTCTGTTTCCATAACCATAGACACATTTTAGAAAAGAGTAATGAAGAGCGTCACCCTTTGGATGTCTTCACCAACTTATTAGAAAATAACTCGAAATACGGGAAGAGAGAATTAAAGAAAAACAACAACATTGCATTTGCTTTTGTTTCTTTCTCTCACACCTAAGTTGCTATTTGACCTACTGAAAAATAATTTACTCCAAATCATTTTTAGCTGTATCAATTAAACAGAAACTCAACTTTGGATATATTTTGTTCATTCTATGCTAAGTTCACATCTTTCTTCTTAGATACTGTGATACAGTGTACACTTAGAAAGTGTTTGTAACGTTACTGTAGGCTTAACATAATGCACATTTTAATGTATAAAAAATTAGAAAGGTCAGCAAGCACTTTCCCAGTATTTCTTCTTCTTTATTAAAATGCAGGTTTGTTGAAGAACGTCTTGAATATGACGTTTACACAGGTTGAGAATGTTCCTTCTATGAAAACACACATATTCAGCATGTTTAATAACACACATAGTTGAAAAGTACTTTAAGTTTCTATTATGATTCATTTTTTAAACCAAAGTTTATCTTCCCATCCTAGCAGCCTGATGATGACTTCCATAAAACAGCAGAACCCCCAGGAACCCCTTCAGTGTGACATTCCCCTCAAAGCAGTAAGAAATAAAGGCCATCTCCTAGTAACTTGGAGATCAAAACACTATTTGATGTCTCCATGTTACTGGGAATCATTTTGTGGCAGAGTCTCCTAGAAGCAGTGATTGGTGAGACAATCAAACACTCCTTTTTTAATCTCCATGAGGAAAGGTATTTCCATCTACTTCAGCTCTTGCTATCCACTGCAGTATGCAGAATGCACACTCTCTAACGATATTATGTTTAAGTATAAATGTCTAATACTCAAGCAGACTTTGGCTCCTCTGTATACTTTTAAGACAGAGTGAGTTGGAAGCCATACAAAGATGTCATCTTTCTAAACAGACACATAAGTTTCATCAATGTATATTGACGAATGGGGAATATGAATGCCCCATCCCTGGAAGCGTTCAAGGCCAGGTTGGATGAAGCTTTGAGTAGCCTGTGGAGCTTTGAGTGGGAGGTGTCCCAACCCATGGAGGGGGGGTTGGAACTAAATGATCTTCAAGGTCCCTTCCAACTCAAACCATCTATGATTCTTTGATTCCCCACTTGCTGCATTCTGAAGTTCATGTCTTGGAGGTTGTTTGAAGTAGCTGCTGGCCCTTCTACCAGAAACTGCAGCACTAGCCACTCAGATTGGTAGGCTACAACTTCACATTTTATGCAGAGAAAATAGGTAATCTCTGAGTGTGCTTCTAAGGCTCCTCCCCAGGTCTAGCTTTAATTTTAAGTTCTGCTGTTTTCTCTGAGGCCAGGTGTGTCCAAGTGTTAGTAAAATGAACAAATAAGCCAATTCAAATTCATTCTTAGAGACAAAGCCAATTGGATTTGTCCAGCTTTTCTCTCCTGTCCAGCTTTTCTCTCTTGTCTCAGTAGGTTGCTTCATGGTAGGACTAAGACCAAATCAAACTTAGATTTACCATAAAAATAAGCCAAATACAACAGGACAGCACAAATTAAAGTTGTCATACCTTAAGACTTTGCAATTCAATTCCATCTTCTGTATCTTTCAATAGTTCAATTAGCCTTTTCCTCTCTCCTTCAAGCATAACAATCTGGTTTCCTGAATCCTTTGCTAGCTGAAATATTTAAAAAAATTAAAAAAAACCCCAACTTTAGAAGTCCATTAGCTCCAACAGCACAAAGTTTTTAAACCCAGTGAAATTGCTTATTGCCATAAAACAAATTATCACTCTGACAGAAAAATGTAGCAGCCTACATATAATAAATTGATAATCTTACAACAGCCTTTAACATAGCCGGGGGGGGATATTTTTTATTGTATGAAAAATCATTATAGCTACTAAGTCTTAACAGAAAAGAAACCATGAAAATCAAGGCATCTATTTGCTGACAGAAAGAAGTCATCTGTAAACAAGGGTCCCATGCAGGCTATACATGAACCACCTGCATATCTATTCTCTATGTATGCATAAGAACATCTTCCTTTAACTTAACAGTAAATATATTTAAAGAAAGTCTTGGGAAATATTTGCCCTCAAAACAACCTACGTCCAGGACAAGCAACAATTAATTTTCCAGTATTCTTTAGCAAATAAACAGAAGCAGTATTATTCCCACCAATATGAGCATCCAAGATGAGAACTATCTTATACAGTATTCTGCCATAAACAAGAATTCTTAACAGCAAGATTTTTTTAATTTATACCTAACTAGCTTTTAATGTTCCTGGTAAAAATCCCAACTGTCTCCAGAAATATTTATACACAATATTTTAGTTAACATTTAACAAAATGTTAATGATGTTATGCTTTAATGCTTACCTCAATGTTCTTTTTAATGAAATCCTGATTGCTTTTACTTTTGCTCTGCATTTTTTCTGCTTGATTAAGAAATTCATTCATTTCTAATTCATTTGGATAATCTGAATTTTGAGAAAGAAAAGTTGGTAAGTTATGAACATTCCTTTTCTGACTCAGAACTACAATAAGAACAATCCTGTTTAAATCTTTAACAAACTTATCAAGTGGATAGACAAACTTTTTATATGCTGTTTTCATTATTTAGATAAACTATATTGCTATATTTAAAACATAATTATTCTCAAAATCTAATCTCATTTTTAAGCTTTTATTATATGAGATAATTCAAAGTTGCAAAGGCTAAAATACTTTTGGATTTCTGACCTCAAAAATGTTAAACATGGCAGCCTTAAAAGCCACGGCATTCCTTCGAACCCTATCATTGTTTCAGTTTTATCATCAGCACAAACCAGACAATAACTTTTTTGAAAACCACAGAACTATTTGGAGACATATCAAGTACATTTTTTAAAATAAAACAGCTGAAGAACAGATGATATAGTTGATATTATTATAACACAGCTTATAAAACAAATCTTGTTTAAAAATAAAACTCATAGAGCTGTAAAGCTATTAAACAGCCACATGATATTCTGACAACATCACACGTATGGTTTTTTCAACAATGGCTTTCTATTCATACAAAAATGGGCACATATTCTGTTTTTCAGAGACTTTTACCAGTTTTAAAAGAGCAGTTCCTTCGTGAACAGCCATTATCACATTAAATAACAAGTCTAAGCAAATACAACCAACTTTTAAGTCTCAAAAGTAGGCATGGTACTTTTTCCTTTTCTGGAAAGTAGAGATTGAATATAGAATGGGTGGGCTATTTGCCTACAAACCCCCCCCCCAGTTTAACATGTTAGAAGACAGGCTACGGAAGTTTACATACAAGTAACTCTTCAGAGTCAGTAGATGGGAAGAAAATTTCCAAACATATGAAATAAATTCTGTGCATCTTTTTACACACTGCAGACAAAAAACTGTGGAACATTCTCACTAATCAGACTTACTTTCAAATTACAAGTAAAACTTAAAAGGACTGAGGTGCTGGTTCTGACCAAGAAAACCCCATCACAGTTCAAATGCACAACTGTTTACTGAGAGCATCCCAAAATATCTTTAACATTACCAGGTAACATCTTAAATCTGTCAAGGAACTGGATCATATAAGAATTTACCAATCAATATAAACATGACAAGTCATATCCTGAAATGAGCAAAACACACCAAACGCCAATATAACATGCAACACATACGCAACATTACTTTTAACCTACATCTTTTTCTAACTGTAGAATTAGCATTTTCAAGAGGAAGCTGTCATACAGAACATCTCAGAACATTCAGGTAAAGAAGGGACAGGCATGGATCACTGGGACAAAGAATACGCTGAAGATTGCCATGGGTAAGTAAGAGAGAGATTGCAGCTCAACAAATTCTGCATATGAGTTTAGGTAGATTTGGTACAGATTTCAAAGATTTGCTACAAATTTTGATGAGATTGCTAAAGCAATATTATAAAACTAATACATAACATTCTTCTTTACAAGTCAAGTTGCTCTTGTTCAGGGTTTGCCTTTATGACAACTGTAACACAGAAATCCAAAAGCAACCAAAACAATAAGTGCTAGCTATTCAGAAACTGTACCAAAAGCCTCCAGCAGAAATAGTAAAAGTCATTGAAGTAATTTATTGCACATTAAGTTGTAAGTTATCTCCGTTTCACACATTCCCAAATCAGGAGAATATAGAACATCTCAAAACAGTGCAAGCAACAGCAACTCCTAACCATGCCTGTACTGGGAGCTCCAGAAGTCATTGCTGTCCTGAACACTGGTAGTGAAACCTGCCATTGCTGTTCAAGGATGCTCCAGCACAACTCAGAAATTGTGAAGGTGGAAGCTGAGGCTCAAGCTTCATTTTAAGGGAAGAATGAAGACACATGGTAGGAAGACAGAGAGATCAAAAGCACAGCACCACTCTAAACCCAGTGTGAAGAAACATTTGACAACAAAAAGTTAAGGTCAGATACTGGGACAAGTGATAAAATGATAAGGGAGGTGAGGTCCAGGGTTAAAAATTAAAACATTCTAAAAAGTGCAGAGATTCTGCTGCCATCAATGGTTCAGCCTTGAGGAACACCCATTTTTTATGTCCTTGCCATCTCAGCCAGTCACCGGGAAGATAGATTCCTTCTGTTTACATAGAATGGTAGATGACAAAGAAATAAACAATTGCAGCTGATAGCAATGGCAGCTGAAGCTATTCTTCTTATGTCACAACACATGTGAGAAGTTACTCAACCACACAGATTTGAATTTCAAATAGGGAGAAAACAGAGGCACAAAAGCACAATTCCATTTATTTTGAAGCATGGGACACACTACACTACTACCAGCATTTGAAACCTCTATAGAGTGCACGTATAGAGTGATGTCTAAAAGAATCAGCACAAATGTTTGATTTTTTGCCAGAAAGTACTTAATCCACAAAAACAATGCACCTTTACAATAGTCAGCATAACAAAATATAAAATGTGTTGTCTGGTTGTCGCATCCATACAATTTCTCCTGAAAACAAAAAAATTACAGAACAGTTTCAACTACATACAGGACCACTCCTGGTTTCTTGAATATAAGCTTATTAATGAAAGTTAGAGCTACCTTAGAATAACAGGAAAGACAAGTTTTTAAAGAATTTCCATGAAGAACTAAGGATACATTTTGCACTGAACCAGTTACACACCTCATTGTTTTGCAATGAAAAAGTTTTATAAACCAAACAGTCAAAATTTTCTAAGCATGTTATATTAAATGTTTTAGATAAGTCACAAACAAAACTATTCTCTTTTATCATCTGCACAAAAATGAGAATTGTCACCATTGCAGTAAGCAACCTTGATTTTTCTGATTTCGTTGGCCTAGCCACAAAGGCCAAGTCTTCATTACCCATCCATTTTACATGTTGTTTTGCTGTATCTAGAAATACAAACTAAACAATTAATAAAGCTTACCCTGATTATGTTGGGTTTCGTGGCAATCATAATCCTCTGGATTAATTTGTGTGTGAAATACTGACGTACATGTTTCATCTTCTTTAGAATGGGAGGTATCTGCAAGGAATTTTTTCAGTAAAATTTAACTGAAATGAATTTAAAGAAGATCTAGTTTTTTGTGTATCATCCTATAAGATCTCACACCTTAAGGTTAGAGAAATTTACTTGGATAAATTACATAACCACCATATATCTCAAGAAATAAATAAGGGGAGAAAGTGTATGTTTTCTCATGAATAATCATGCTGTTTCATATGGCTGTCTTTCCATTTTTAACTACCATCTATACAGGACAAATAATTACATTCTAAAAGATACAGCCCAAGGCCCTAACGTTCAAAAGCCTCTGCAGACACCATGTGGCAATTCATCTAGAACTCTGAATGAGAATAAAGTATCCAGGTTTTCACAGCTGGTGTCTGCCTGTGCATGAATTATTAGACTTCCAAGTGGCTTAGGTCAAGGGTATAGTCTAGAAAAAAAGTTTTCAAACATCCTAGCATGCAAGAGTTATTTCAGTTATTTAAAGAAAAAAAATCAGTCATGGTATTGACATACATCAACTGGAAGTATGTGTTAGAGCATTAACGTGCAGCCTATAAATTTAGCACTTAAAAAAAGGACTCATATCGCAAAGAACCATATATATCACATATGACAAATGTGTTTTTCACAATGAAAAAATCAACCAACATCCTGTAACAATGAAGTTTAATGGACTCAACTGAAAGCATGATTTTGTTACGCAGAGCAGAGGAGAATAAAATTAGGCTGTTTAATTAACTCCTGATTTACATTTCTGCCATGACTGTGTTGGAGGTTTTTCATGCCTGAGATTCTAGGACATATCAGTTATTAATGACCGTATGCCTGGAATTTGCATTTGATTTCACAGTCACATTAAAAGCTCTAATTAAATAGCTCCCCTATATAATTTATTTAATAAAGCTCTTTATCAAACTCAAGCTGTGAAAAACAAAATATATGAATTACATTCCATTTCAGTATCAACCTGTACAGCTATTAAGGCACTCATTTAAAGAATGAATAAGACCCAAAAAGTAAGGCAGTAGCATATCACAGAAAATTCAAGATAAAGATCAAGCTGTAGGAAAAATAGAAATCTAAACTCTGCAGAATTTTGCCAGTTCAGTACATCAGAATCTATATGATGCACATGATCTATACAGCAAGGAGTTACTGTTGATATAAAAAAGGAACTGAAGCATGGAGTTCATCAACAACCATATAGTCTTGCTTGCCTACTGTTTTTTTACTATATCCTGACATCTACTGGATACTTTTTAAATATCACCCTCATCAAATTCTGTGTTTTTCCCTTAATACTCAAATTTTAGCAGAGAAATAAAAGCAGGTTACCTTGTAATAAGTCCCGTTGAAATGTTTTAACCACACATTGCTACCATTGTTACACACATACTTCCAACATTCAAGCTGAGATTTTTGCTCAACAATAACCATTCATTGTTGTTCTTTCCCCAACAAGAAAAAAGAAAAGATGAACCACAATTCTTTTTCCTTTCAAAATGTGCATATGATTGACACACCTCTTAGAACTCCAGCTCTGAGAACAAGTGTTCAAACAGTAAACATTTTCAAACCACTCTTGAGCAGTTTTGACATGGTATATTCTTGACAAATTCAGGTTTTTTTGTTCCCCCTGCCCCTTGCAATAAAGACATTGTGAGCAGAATGCCTACAGTCTGTTCCAGTGTCTTCCTCAGCAAGAGTCTAGCCACAGAAAGAAAAAGGACATTTTAAAATACCCAATATTTTCTTTCTGTTTTCCACATTTTTCTGTTTCATTAACTATTTGCTTAGCTTTCCTGTTAAAGAACTCGGTCCATCATTAGTGATTTGTCTACTATTAATGAAGCTATAGAATTTGGTGTTTTAAATGCCACTGGAGATGGAAGTGATTTTAACGAAAAGACAAATGTTTATTCTTATCAGTGTGTTCACTTCCACTTTGAATACTTTCGTCTTCATTGTCATATCATGATGAAAGTCAGAAATTATCTTATCAGACTTCCTGGTCGTTTCCTGAGAATGGTCTGCTCGCGTGTCTTTAATGTAGTTTTACTTTGTAAAACTGACATCTACCCTAATTTTTCTTCCCTAGAATTCTCAGGAAAAAGGCCTACTAAAAACACAGGTCATGTTTCATATTCATGCTTTTTCCTTAGAATCACACTCTATATTAATCGATGATCCCTTTTATTCAGATCCTCTCTTACATTCAGAATCTTAATTTTTTTTAGAAGTGAATTAAATTTAACATAATCAGAATCAAATTTAATGTAAATGACCCATACTCCCTTTCGGGCTATGTTCCAGGACCTAGGCTGTGCATGTGTCTTCCTGTACTGTTTTCCAACATACAACTCAGTATTTAGCATCACAATTTGGTTCCATCCTTTTGGTTCTTCTGTTAACAGTTCTTAAAAAGGCTCAGGATTTCTCTCCCTCTGGACCTGTCATATTATGAGATCCTTACCATGGCACTGCCATTGCTTCCTTCTCATTCTCTCTCCCACTCCCACACGAAAATTTTCTCCAAGATACATGTGTGGCAGGGCCCACATCCCTAAAGCTTCTCAGTTACATTTTAGGCCTAATATTTTTTAACTGCCTGCCCTTCCTATACCAAGTACTGCAGCCTGAAAAACTCTCCCACTGAGACCACCAGACATGAGTAACTTCATCATTTTTTTTGTTTACCAAAGCAATTTTGAATTCCTTCCTTATTGCCCAGATGTTCCAAAGTGATAAAGACATCCACGTTTTTCAACAGGTTTCCACTTTTCATTTTCCCTATACCTGCTATCATTAATTTACTTTAGTCATGCATCCTTTCTGAAATCATCTGTGTTTGCTATCAACTTGAAAAATGCAAGCTTTAGTGGTCCTGGATTTTTACCCTTCTAGAGTATCCAGCTCTTTGAAAAAATACAGTTTCTATAAATAAAATTAATGTGAAAGTACAACTTCTACATTTGTGATAATGCAAACATTATTTCAGTTAATTTTTAAAATATTCCCTTGAGGTACTTTTACATGCAAATATTATTTTAATGTAAAGGTTTGAAAGCTTTCTTTTTATAGTAGCTAACAAAAATACGAATATTATTCAAAATACAGGATAATTATATCAAGGGATATACTTCTCTTTCTTACCTACCAGCTTTATACTGCCGTGATGAGATCAAAGCTAAAAAAAGTTTTGTGTTTTCTATCTCCTCATGGCTTCCAGTGGTTCTGATAGACTATTCAAAAGAAATAAAGCATAAATATACAGATACATGCATATATTTACTTTAAAGTAAACACAAGCTAAATACATTGTTTGCTTATCAGGTTGAATGAACTTCAGACCCTATTAAAAATTCATTGTTCAGTGGCAACATTTACTTACCACCTTATTTTCTTCTTGAGGAAGAAGAACATCTGAATGTTCTCAACATCTCCTAAAGCTACGATAGAGGCATGGTGGAACTTTAAAGCCTCTGTTACATAGTGTCTTTTACATGGGGACACATTTCACAAGACAAAGTAGTTCTGTAATGTACATATGGCTCTGAATCCATATCCATTGAAATTATGAGATGCAGTCAAACTAACAGCAAAGAGGTCTTTTTAGCAACTGACATTTTTATTCATTATACAATACTTAACCTCAGAGAAAATACTAACTTTAATGTTTCAGGGCTTAAAGTGACATTTAACTGCTAGAAATGAGGACAGGAATAATGGGAAGGAATTTGTGCTGTAGCATTCTTATCCCTTCTTCAAGGGGCATCTCTAATTTCTCCAATAATAGACAGTGCTGAAATAGATGGGCCTAAAAACAGTCACGCTAGAACAGAGTAAACACTTTTAGGTCTGGGTTCACAGATATTACCTCTTGTCACAGCTCATCACACCTGTGAGTAGCAAGTTCAAGTGTAAAATCATGCTAGTAAATCACACCTAGACAGCTGTATATTTGGCTATAGATCATAACAGTTTTTAGGGACCACAGCCTTCTTTCAAACCCTGCTTAGCCAATACATATTAAAACCTATTCAAAGTTACTTTTTAAGATCCATTTTTTCACTTTAATCAACCAACTGTAAGTTATGTAATCAAACAATGCATCTGTCAATATGATAATTCTGTAAGATGTTACTCTTAAGATACACTCTTCACAAAATAAGCTGAACGCTTCTAACCTGAAGTTCTTCCCAGAGCTTTGCCCTCATTTCTTTGCCTTGTTTTTTAATTGCTCTCTCCTTAAAACGTTTTTTTGCCAGTATTGTGTCAAGTTTATTCATTTTCTTTATAGCTGCTTGAATCTGAGGGTCTGCATCTGTTTCCTCAAAATGTTCCAAGTTGGAAGAGTTTGCTGTAGAATATATTTATAATTAATGTTAGTTTAAAGCATTTCAACCTTAAAAAAAAAAAAACTAAAAAGCAGTACAAGAAATTTGATAACAACCATAGACAAGAGTACAAGTACTCTCAAGTATATATATATCATGTTTATTTCTAAACCTCTTTGTAGCAGAAAAAAAATATAAAAGTCTTTATAATGGCATGCTGAATCAAACTCTCAGCTGTATCAGTTGGGCATGCAGGAGGAAGAGCCCTCCATTTTGGGCAAGTGATTGGATTCAAATTTATAATGGAAGAATGACATCATCTGCACAGTATCAGCAAAAATCACAGACAAAATAAGCTTAAAAATAAACAATAATTTCTTCAGCCTGACTAGTAGAATATATGTTGAAATGTCATTCATTAAAATGAGTAATTCCGGGGTTAAGAGGAACCGTTATAGACGTTTCAGTCTTGGCATCTCAGCCAAATCAGATTCTGATACTACTTCTAGAAGAATGTTGTTCTGAAAAAAAGAGAAGTGGTGTAACCTTATGGAAACTACCTTTATTTAATTAAAATAGATTTCTGTATTGTTTCTTTTTTTCCTAAATGTGCAGATTACAATTTCTGATCACTTTTAGCTTTACTCCTTCCTACTGCATCTTCACGCTCTGCCCTCTTTTCTGGTCAGCTTCCATAGCAAGAGTAGAGGAAACACTTGTAGTACTGTCCCTGTCCCACAGACTTCCAATACTTTTTCATTTTCTAATCTTTTGAGGTCAAATGTTAGACACACCCATTGATCCCAAGCATTTAGTGTGATGCATTGATCTACTTTATGCCATAAAAAAGTATGAGTGACACAACCAGGGGAGAGCTACAAAAATCTAACTGAGCTTCAGGTATGCCCCAAGGACAGAAGATTTAAAAAGAGCATTATTTCAACTGGCCTAAACCCAACAGATGGCTTTGAACGTAAAACTACTGAGTGAAGCTTTGGAGTTCAGTTCTATCCAATTTCTTTTCTGAATAAATGAATATTATGTTAGCTGGCCATCACTGTCGTACAAGATAGAATCACCACTGGATTCTGTGCCTTGTTAGATTGACCAAATCTATGTAAAACTCAAATACTATCATAAAGTGAATATTCTTTAATAAAATAAAGAATTCATCCAATAACTCTTGAATATCACAATGTATATACCTTTTCAATTTGTATTATTTCTTTATAACTATATAATATACACACAAATACACTACAGTCCCAAACTCTCCTAGAAGCACTAAGAAAAAAAAGGAAAAAAGAAAAGTTTTATTGCACCATTCACTTTATAAACATAAAAATTCATACCTGCTTTCGCATTATGTAGTTTTCCTTTGGAAGGTTCACAGAATTTTAAAGTCTGTGTTTCAGTGTTATCATCTCCAGAATCAGAACTAGACATATACCCTGAAAAACAGGAAAAAGCCTTTCACCATAAAATAGAGGTGAAATAAACTTTTAAAAATACTGTTTGAAATGTTAACAATGAAGAGACCACAACACATTTTTGTCATTTAGGGATCACCACAGAGCCTCTGCAGCCAATTAATGTTTAAAAAATTATATGCACGGGTGCACCAGGACTCATGTTAAACACAGGAGCAGGAATCAAGGGGTTTCTTTTGACACCAGTTCTGTCACGGATTCTTATCTAAACTTGAAAAAGGTATCCAAACTTTCTGCATCACTTACTGGCCTTTGCTTCTTTATTTTTAAATAGTCAGAATCTCTAGAAAGTTATTACCATTTATAGAATGCCAAAAGAATGCTACCTGAAGCACTTCTACAAGTGTTTTCATTAAAATGAGATATTGCATATTTTTATTTAAAGTCTTTTATTAGTATTAGCATTGTTCAGTTGTTAAATACTGTAAGTTACAACCATAATTTCTAATTTTTTGGACCGGTGGAGCATTATTAGGATACACAATTTCTAACACATGATTATGATCTCTGCAAAAAGATCATAAAAAAAACCACCTTACTGAAAACACTTCCTAACATGATTCCACAGATCACAGGTTTCTCCTGGACTTTTAGGCCATCACCAAGGTGCAGGTCACAGCTTAGATGCCACGAGACATGTGCTGTAGTGGTAATGCCAGTGATAACATATTTCTTTCAAAGATGGATTCAAAATAGTGAAAAAAGTGAAGGTATGAATTTTGACACCTCCTTATGTTACCTATTTGCTCCCTCTTTTCCCTCCACCAACAGAATTTTCCCCAAATGATACAAACGTGGTATTTGGTCCGGGCACAACACAAGAAAGTGTTACTCATTCCCACAGCTCATTAGGATTCGATACACGCTTCTGAAGAACAAAGATTGTACCCTCCACTGTGGTTTCTTGATCTGTTCTTACTTCCTTGACATCAGATTTCTCTCTATCATCACCTTTGTTTTCTTCTGGACAGCAGTCTTCTAGATTGCTTCTTTGATAACTACCAGCCAAACTGAGTGGTGAATCAACCTATGAAATGCAAATTCTCTACTTATATAAAAAAAGAAATCTTTTGAGGGAAGCAAAAGATAATCACATACTATCACAAAGGCTAACAATGATTCTATACAAGACTGCCGACTACTTTTTAATCAAAGAACCATTTTCAGATCTGATACAAAGTTCTATTTCTTAGATATCACATTGATTCTCAAGCCCATCATTTCACAGTCTGCCAGATTTGCGATTGCCAGGCTAGGAAATTATTCCAAAGGTTTCCATCATTTCTGCTGCAGCAGAAGGTACAGCCAAGCTGTTATAAGAGTCTGTGCGTACAACAGCCTCATCCATTTCCTGACACAGTGGATGCTCTGCACCAGACAGCATCCCAATCTCCTGCAGGAACTCCAGAGCTTGTTATAGCCTCTGAAAAGCTAAAAAGCTAATGCTTAATTCATCAGTCTCAAGAGATTGCAATTTTCATGCAATAGCCTATGAATTTTAGGTGAGAACTTGGTTTCACAGTTACCAGATATTAACCTTAATACCCAACTGTGAATCCATATAAAAATATTTTAATACTTCTATGAAGAATCTAGGTTTGATCCCATTCTACAAACAGGTGACAAGAAGTACAATACAATCAGGGTAGTCTAAGTAAATTTATCTAAATCTCTAATTCCCACATCCCAGTTCCTACATCCCAACAACTGTATCACATATCCCATTCCCAAAATTAAGTTAATCCACAATATTAATTTTCTTAGAGGATAGGCAAACACCTACTTCTGACAGACTTTGTTGTATCCCTGGAGCTGACATATTTCTTGGAATACTATGATTTATTTTTTTTTAAATTCGATTCAAACATACCCTGAGAGAACCTTGTAGTCAAAAACTCAACTTGTGAGGATTGCTCAAATACTTTCTTTTAATAAGAAGTAAACCAACTTTTATTCCAACTTAAAATTTAAAGCACAAATGGGATGGAAGTGAAATTATGCACATTATGCTCATTCATCAACAGCCTATAGCTGTGCATCTACACATTATTGACAGAATCTCAAATGTTTTCCTTTCAAAAAGAATTTATTTAATAATCTGATTAAATATAAAGAGGAAGACAACCAAGTTTTCCAGGCTGTAGTGCTGAATAGCTCTTTTTATGGCAAATATAAAAGTAATACCTATTCAGAAAAATTAAATTAAACACCATTCCATTTATATATAAGGAGCAGCCCACATGCTTGAACTTTCACATAACCCCTTAGCACACCTGCAGAGCCCAGAACTCTCTAAGAAGCTAAAAATGCAGAATCTTATTTCTTTGGCATTCCAATAAGAAAAATTAGGTACAGAGTTTTTAACCTGCTGAAGGTGAAAAGAATTACCTTTGGGAAACATGGCTCTGGTGTTAATAACTCCATAGATGTATTTAAAGTTCTACAATGAGGATAAGCTTTTGAGCTAGATGCAGGCCTTGAAATTTTATCCAAGCTCCCCCTTGTAATATCCATTATGACCTAAAATTGGGGAAAAAAAAACAAAAACAAAACAACCTTCCAAACTATCACTTTCATAATAAAACAACATAAGCCCAGTAATATTTCAGATACAGATTTTAAAAGTTTCAAATGTTTTCTAGCAACTCAATGAAGGTTCTTTCCGTTACAGACTAGCTTGCCACTCAATTATACACTTTTTAATATATGTAACAAATATATATTTATATCATCAAGCCAACCAAAATATTCAAATGAGCTGTTAAAGAAACTTCAAACGACTTAAATCTTAAAAGTAATCTCACAACAAAGGAAATGTTATGGCTCTTTTTCAAAAAACAAAATAAAACAAACCAACCAACCAACCAACCCAAAACACAAAAACATGGGAGTGGCAAAGTTAGCATCAGCAAAAAAGTGAGGGTATTTCATAGACTTCTTGACGACATCAAATAAAGCAGTCAGAAGCTTTTCCCATTCAGTACTTGTAAATGAGGGGAGTTCCCAAATCCAACCAACCACATTCGCAGGCCCAATGCGAGTTTAAACAACAAAAAGGCATGGTTCTCTGCAAAACCTGCATGAATTCACAGGAATTAGGTATCCGAGTGTGTGACACACACTGATCATTTTCAAAAGACCGGAGCGAATACAGCTTTTTATTTCAGTACGAGAACCAGGGCAGAGCCATGTCCACAGGTCCGTAACATGACACGTTAAGTGGGCAGAGAATTAAAAAAAGAGTCGTTTATATTCATTCATCCATTTCAACCCATGAATCTCGGGCCCCTTCACACCGTTTCCCACCGGCAGCCGGGACCGACGCGGTGCCGCCTGGGGGGATACTGAGGCGGCTCCGCACCCGCCCGCCTCGGCCAGCCGGGACACCCACCGACCCTTTGACGGGTTCTGGCCGTCTCTCGGCCGCCGCCAACGGCCGCAGCTCCGAGAGCCCCCCCGGGAGACGGCGGGCAGAGCCCTCCCCGCCCGGCAGCGCCTGTGTCCGGCCGGACCCCCCCGCAGGGCCCGTGGCCGCCCCGTCCGTACCGCGGGAGGGCGGCACCACGAGGGCCAGCGCGGGCGGCGCGGCCGCCGTTACCATGACAACCAACGCACCGAACTCTCGCGATAACTGCAGGATTCCGCCTTGAACCGGGGCGGTACCATCGTCAGAAAGGGGAGGGGGGGAATGGAGGAGGGGTTTTCATTAGCTTTTTCGCAGGAGTGCGCATATAATCGACTTCTCACTTGCCCATGAAGTCCGAACGACCAGATAAACCTACTGAAGTCTGTCTTCTCCGTCCTGACGGAGAGCAACGCTGTACGAGGAGCGCCCTTCTCCTCCCTCCCCCCCGCAGACAGTTGGGCTGTGCCGGGCCCGTTGCTGGGGCGGCGGGATAGCGGCGCCGCCGCTGGAGTGTCTGTTTCTGTGTGGCCGGGCCAGGCCGTGGGAAGGGGGGAGCCGGGGTCCGGGCCCGGCTGAGGCTGTCACCAGGAGGCAGGGTGGCGGTGGGCGCCCCCCGCCCCGGCGCGTTTGGTCCCTCCCTGCCGCCAACGCCGGCGGACGCCGAGGCCCTCAGCAGCCGGGGCCCGGGGGCGCGCGCCGCTGGGGACGGGTAACGGGAGCGGCGTCTGAAGGGATGGGCCGCTTCGAGTAAGCGGGAGGCAGAAACGGAGTCGGTGGGAAACGGTGGGGGTCCGTGCCCGCGACAGGCGGTACCGCCGCCGCAGCCCCTCGCCGAGCGGCGCCCAGAGGCGGGGGGAGTGTGTGCATCCGCTCCCGGGACCGCTGAGCCCCGTGGGTCCGGGTGTCGTAGGCGGGAGCTGCGACCGGTTCCGTGATGGCATCATTCTCATTGCCCTTCCCATGTCTGTGGAAGAACAGTTTTCGAAGTCTTCAGCAGGAGAAAGTTAGCGTTTCGAGCCTTTTAAATAATATGCCTGTGCTGTGAGTTACCGTCGCTCCTGTTGGTGGTATGTCTAGTTTCCCGCATAGCTGAATGACTTTTAAAATAAACTCACTAAAACTAATACTGTCGTCACATTTTTAACTTGAATATTCATTGTTAATAATGAATTTTCATTAATAAGGGGAGTCTACCTGCCTTCCTAATCTCATCTCTTTTTATTTATTTTTTATATTTAAATATGATGTGATGATTGAGTCTTGTTTTCTGATTAACTTGTAAAAACTACAGGCAGTTACTGGCCCCTACAACTTCTGTTGATACCCATATGTTAAAGTCAGGTTTACATTGGTGGCAAAAATTTACGAGAAACAGTTTGAAGAAACAAACTGCATCCTGTTAAAAATAAGGTTTTGGTTGACAAATTCTTCTGCTAAAACCTTACTTTCCAGACAGCAAATATATGCCTCCAACAGTGGAGATTTTATTGAAGCTCCCAGTGCATAGCATTTTATTGTCAATATTCCTGCAAGCGACAGTGAGAGAATTTTTTCTTGTGTTTATGCCATAAGGAAGCAGTGTGGTTTACAGTCAAGAGCTAAAGACAAATACAGAAAACATGCTAGTGAACCATCTGTATTTTATACAGTCATAGAATGCTTTGGGTTGAAGGGACCTTAAAGATCATGTAGTTCCAACCCCCCTGCCATGGGCAGGGACACCTCCCACCAGACCAGGTTGCTCAAAGCCCCATCCAGCCTGGTCTTGAACCCTTCCAGGGATGGGGCAGCCACAGCTTCTCTGGGCAACCTGTTCCAGTGTCTCATCACCCTCAGAGTAAAGAATTTCTTCCCTATATCTAATCTAAATATCCCCTCTTTTAACTGTTACCCCTTGTTCTATTGCTACACTCCCTGATAAGGAGTATCTCCCCATCTCTCTGTAGGCCCCCTTCAGGTACTGGAAGGCTGCTATAAGGTCTCCCTGGAGCTTTCTCTTTGCCAGGCTCAACAATTCCAACTCTCAGCCTGTCATCATACAAGGACATATTAAAATTCTGACATCAGCCCTGTGAATGCTAATGCAATAGCATAGTGCTGTTTGGAATGTGTGGTGCCTTCCAGATGGTGCAGATAATGATCTGAAGCAAAAACATAAGATCAAAAGTTTACATCCACAAGTTGAGTATTTAAGGCCAGTCATAACAATGAGAAAACAGTAGAATGGACAATACAGTTCAGAGCTAGCTAAACTGACATCTGCCTTTTGCTATATTAGGAATTATATAAATATGAATAATAAGGTATGGAAAGCAGCTGGATATAACTACCCCAGTATTTATTTCTTTCTTTAGCAGAGTATATGTGCTTAACAGCTGACAGACTCTGACTTGCTGTTAGCTTCCCATATTACACTGCCTAGAGCCTCAGAAGGGCCCGCAAAAGCAGTGTCCAGCTCTGCATTTGGTAACAAAAGGACATAAAGCTCCTTTGAAAGTGGTGCAGGAATAGGCTCCTTACTCCTGCTTATCCATGAAGGTTATCTATCAAATGAGGCCGTCACACCCAAGAGGTATCATCTCAAATCACAGTTGATCTTAGATCCGTGAGTGTTATGTGTCCTAGGAGACCCAGAGAAGAAAAGAAGAGGTTCATAGAGCTCATCCCATCCCAAATCCAGCAAATTGGGCCGTAACAGTCTTCGTCTCCGATAAGAGGACTGAACTTTCTAAACATCATTAAATAGCACAAAATCTCAAACATGGGTAGATGTGGCACATGTATTTATAATGAAGTTTGAACTAGGAAAGCAGAACAAAGGTTGTGATTTGCTTTTTTTGCCTTTTTGGGAATAGGTCAGTTTTGTTCCATGATAAATTAGACACTTAACTGAGGTATAATGAGATAAAGAAAAAAAAAAAAGTATTGGAGAAAACTTGTGTCTAGAAAGGGCATAGCAAGAAAAGCACCCCAAGGTGTGCTTTTCCTCCTACAAGATAGGTTACAACGTGATGAAGATACATTTAGACAAGCTGTCTTGATACTGAGAACCCAGTCACCATAGTAACAATTCATTTATCCTTTGCTCCCCTTTCCAGGCCAGAAGAAACACAAGTGAGGGGGAAAATATAGGGAACTTCTCCCCATTGCTACTGCTGTATATTCATACGCCTCTGCTGAACAGCATTTTAATACACAAACAGGTAGCCCAAACACTTTCCTTGTCTCATACAGGTTGGAGGGAAAATGCTTATTAGCTATTAGTGTTTGTTATTTTCAATATTCTTTTGTGTACTCACCTGAAGTAGCTTTTCTTTACTGCAGGCAGTATTTTTAAGGTAGACTGTAACAGTTCAGTACACTCATCAGGACAAGCACAGTTCTTTTCCTTACATCAATTCCCCTAAACGTTGGGGGAATAAACAGACTGTTTTCTTGCAAAGGACAAACAGATCACGTATTAATGTCTTTTGATCGGTGCATGCCAAGTTAAGGGCAAAAAGCCAGGAATTTTGGGCCATATTCCAACTTTTCCAGAACCCCCCAGTGAGGATGAATAGAGTTCTGCAGTGTGCTCCATCAGGGACAGAGCACAGTAACCTGGCAGCTCAGGAGGACAGGCTAAACTAAAAGGCTAAGTCCAGAGCCAGTGGGAAAACTTCCACCATGTTTAATAAAGCCAAGTTTTCATTCTTTGGCTTGCATCAGGAAAGGCCTGGTCTTCCCTCCTGCCACACCTTCTTCTGCCAGCAAACAGCAGGGTTTGGGAAGCAGGAGCTCAAAGCGGCTTGTGCTGTGCTGCCCTGGGGTGCAGGTGCTGGGGTTTGCTACCAGAGAGGTGCAAGGGGACCAGAAGAATGAGATCCCACAAGTTTCTAAGGACCTTCTTCCGTGGCTTAGGATACGATCCAGGCAAAAATCAGTTTAGTTTTACAGAAAATGGAGGCAAAGAGGACAGAATACTGCTTAGCATAGTACTGTGCACAAAGGAGTTTTTGGAGTAAATGACCATCTTGTTGCATTATGTTTAGCCATAGGAAACCTCAGGACACAGAACAGCTGTGCAGAGAAACCCTGGTTTGCGTTACCAAAGGTGTTGGATCTGATTTGATATTCCTTACACTTTCTTTAAAAAATACTCCACTTTCTCCTCACAGAGAAGAAACAAGAGAATTGCTCCTATTCACATGCAGAGGGCCTTTTGCCGAGATAAAGAATGCTTCTGCATCCCACTCTTGTATGGCTGTCCCCAAGGGAAGCAATCAGAAAAATCCGCCTCTGCAAACCCTTCACCACCTTTGGCTGCTTTAGCAGCTTGAAAACAGACCTAAAACAAAGATCACTTCAGGCTGGTTCCTGCTGTTCCCCCTCTGTGTCCCCCAGGGGAGGAATCAACTCGCTCACAAGTGCAATCTGGAGTTCTGCAATTTTCTACAAGATGTGTTTTGGTTTGGTTTCCTAAACTGTCCCTGAATTAAAAATTCCTGCAGATTGCAGTGACTAACCTTGTGGTCCAAGTTTGACAAAGACATCAATATAGTTTGTTTAGAACCTACTTTGGCACAGAGGAAGTCACTTTAACTAAAATAAAAAGCAGTCTTTTGAAGAGGTAAGAATGTTCTACGCTTGAAAGCAGGGACTTCAACTATATCCTTTTTGGGGGGCAGGATGAGTTCTTTATGACCAACAAAAAAAGAAAATAACCCTAAAACCATTGATTATCTCATACTGACACCTACATAGGCTAAAGCACAATTACACAGTAACTTATATCAAACAAGTTTAGAAGGCAGGGATTTTGCTTTTTTACGTTTACATTCTTTGTCAAATTATGCAGTGCAAGGTCACATGACATGAATGAGAGGAACTACAAGAGTTCTGTGCATCACCTAATCACCTCCAGAGCTGGTTCCCTACACAGCAGTTTATGGGGCAGCTCCTCTTTAGCTGGAACCAGCTGCTAAGTGCCAGTCCTACTGAGCTGGAACCACAGCCTTACTTTCCTCCATTCTTCAGGACACAGACCACCGATACAGGAATATTTTCCTAGAAAACAGGGAGCTGAATAGAAGAAAACTCACTAGAGAAATCCAGCCAGCCCTGCAAAGCATTATCTATAGGTGTATTTTTAAAACCAGAAAATATGCATTAATTAAATCACTGCAGATTAATAGATGTGTAATAGAGTAGAATACTTGGGGAGTTTCTAGAGAACAGCTGCTTTTCCCTGGAAGTTTATCCCATTGTGCAAAATAAATGTTGGCCAAGCAGCCAACCAATACAGCATTACTTGGTGCTGAAGGACTGTATGGGGTTTTGATTTTTCATTTTTTCCATGATGTTTGTTTGAATTTAACAATTTTTCTTGAGGATATCTAGGAACAGTAAAGTGACATTGTCCCCATAGTCTTTTCATCTTTTTAAAAGGATTTCTTCCTTTGTTTAATATGAGTTCCATTTTCTGTTTTTCTCCCCTAAGTGCTAGAATAATGAGTTTTAACTTTCCTTCCTCCAAGTTTATTCTCCAGTGTAGTAAGATTTAGCCTTTAAATCTGTTTTCACAGGCCAAATTACCCCAGGCTTTCACTTCTTCGATTCCCACAGCTTTGCTTTGTACTTCACTTTCTTTCATCAATAATCTGGAGAGAAAAAATTATCTTAACACCTCTGGTGGTTAGAAACAACAACCATAACAAACCCCCGCACATACACCTTTTGCTTATCTTTACTGTCACGACAAAGAAAAAAACAAGTCTTCATTTTATTTTTCATATTGGATGCTGGAGAACATAGTGCCCAGCAGAAATCATCTGAACAACAAGCCAACAGACAGCAATAACAAGTCAAAGTTTCCACTGTCTTAGATGAAGTTAAAAATCAATCTCTTCAAATCAAATATTCCACCTTGCATAAAGAACCTCCCAAATTACTGTTTTCTGATGACAATTCTAGCATTTATGCTAGAATTATGAATTTTACACAGATTTTTTTTTTCTATGCAAAGATGTGCCTTTGTATATTTTTTCCCACTTTAAAATTTACATGGACAAGCTGTTGAAAGAGGGACTAAAATAAAAACATTCCTAAATAATTCTTCAGGTACGGAAAACCACCTTAGTTAATTTCTTGGTGAAAGGTTTCAATGTCTTCAGAGACAATCTGCTAAAAAAAATACAAGCAAGTTTTTACACATGCCCTCAGTGAAAGAAAAAGATACATTTGTCTCACCGGTCAAAAGTGACTATAAACTCCTTGCTTTCCAGATAAACTAAATGCAATGCAATTTGGCTCTTTCAATTCATCATTGACATTTTATTCAATGTAAGAGTTGAAAAGGACAAAACTGAGTTTGCTTTCCTCAATCGAGTTTAGATCTGAGTAACTATTTATCCACATTCATTAATCACAGGGACTTTGACCAGTATTTATATGTAAGTGGGCCATAAATATTAAATTTAACAAAAATTAATAAGGAAACTAGAGCTCCTAATTTGCTTTTAGGTTTTCAGGATTTTTTGAATGTCATCTGTTCTTTCACAAACTTTGAATAAAGAAACACTCTATTAAATTATTTTTTATCAACATTTTTAGAAAATGTCTCCTACGGTACTTCTCTACCTCTGCCACAGAAGGAAAACACCTTTTCCTCGAATATTTCTTCTGTCTGATTTCAGGCAAGCTATGTCTGCCTTCCCATCTCTGCATCTAAGAAGCAGCGCAGCTGGGGCTCCCACCACCCATCTCAACCCACTGGAGACTGCTCCTCACTCCCAAGCTGAGAAGTTCTTGAACTAGCAAGAAGTGAAAAGCACTAAAAAGAGGAAATGGAGAAAAACATAATTTATACAGTCATTTATAAACATTTTTAAAATACATTTTTATTAAAACATTTGCTTTTAATGCCTTGTAGAAATCCACCACCTCGGAACCATCAGAAGCTGCTGACTTTCCTCAAACATGTCAAAGGAGGAACAGGAATATCTCCAAATCCTGCTTCAGCAGAATTTTTTCCCACTTTTAACACTGGTTAGATTTAGTAAGTTACTGTGAACTTGGCAAGATTCTTCACCTTGTCCTTTTAGAAGTATGCTTTAAAGAAACTACTTTCATAAACAGGCAGTAACTACAGATAAAGGTTCAGCATGCACCAAAGGGCTAAAGTACAGGAGAACCACAAGGAGTACACAGATGCTACTAGATTGTGCTTTTCAGAAACTACGCACAGAGACAACAGTGAATGCAGATAAGGAAGAAGGAAAGACGACTTGCAACTGACCAATGCCCAGGCTACAATAGTTTCAGGCTGTCTAACAGACTGATATAGCTTGAAATTCACACTCAGTACAAAGGAGACAATACGCCTGTGAGGATGCAGGGGGTCAAGCTGCAGCACAATGCCTGAACTCAGAGGAAGGCTGGTGTGCTGACACCAGGGATGGCATGACTCTGATTCACTCAGGAATTAGGCACCAGATTTGAAAGTCTCATGTTCCTACACTGGGTGGTCTACTCTGCGAGACAAGTGGAGTAGGATGGTTGGCATCTACGTCTGTGAAGGCAGAAGGAAAACCTCCCTAAATATGACAATAATGAGCAACGGTATTAATAAACCTTGCCTTTTAGGGTCTGTTATCAGCTTCCTCCCTCAGCAGTTCAGTACAAGGCTACTAGTATTTCTGGCCCATTTCTTTCATTTGCTAGCTTTTCTGTTAGAAAACAGCAAAGTGCCCCAGCAGATGAGCCTATATTAAGGTTGACCTCTTGGTTACTTACACAATACACACATTACACAAAACAGTGAAGTGCCCCAGCAGATGAGCCTATTTTAAGGTTGACCCCTTGGTTACTTACACAATACACACATTACACTGTTGGGACATTTGTATATGCCCTTTATCACAGGAGCCAGGTGTTTATGCCCTTGGCACATACATAATTGTTTACTGGAGTCAGGATTTTCCCTGCGTGGTCTCCAATCCATTTTTTTACTGAAAACTACAAGAATACAAGTTTTTTAAAAAAAGGTCTTTCTTGGGTTTGACACACAGAATAATTTTGGTATCCCTGGCTTTGCTGAAGTTTTAGGCTAAACGATAGTGGTTTAGGTTTTAAAAAAGTTTAGATGTTTGGCAGATACTTGGTAACTAATTTGTGCAAAAAGTCCAGCAAGTTTTACCTTAACACTGATTTAAGAAATGGGCTTAAGAGAGAATAGATGTACTTAAATAGTCCACCTTGCTTCATTAAAGAAATGTTTTGGCAGATACTTGGTAACTAATTTGTGCAAAAAGTCCAGCAAGTTTTACCTTAACACTGATTTAAGAAATGGGCTTAAGAGAGAATAGATGTACTTAAATAGTCCACCTTGCTTCATTAATGAAATGTGCAGAACCTTGCTGTGTGTATTTACAGGAGGTTGGGATTTACACATTTTGCATCTGTCTTCTACTCCCTACAGCCTTTCCTGTTAAGATACTTTGATACCCAGTCCATTTTAATACAGCATAAGGTTTCCCAGCAGTCTTCTGCTCCCTACAGCCTTTCCTATTAAGATACTTTGATACCCAGTCCATTTTAATACAGCATAAGGTTTCCCAGCAGACTGACTGCTGTATTCCCTACTTCAGCCATACAAAGTGTTCCCAAAGCCATATGTACGTTTTGAAAGTTAATCAGGCAAGTATCATTGTAGAGATTTCACAGATAAAACTAAGAATGGCCATCTTTTGATATATTATTTTCATGAAAACATATTCATAAGAAACACTTGTATTCCCTTTTGTTTGTTTGTTTAAATTAAAGTTGGCACAAAAAAAATCAGCCTGTAACAAATTTTGGCATAACAAAGATCCATGGGATCACACATAATAATAGAAGGTGACCTTCCTCTGTCACTTAAAACTCCTGTTCTTACTAAGAATCCACCTTGGGAAAGATACTGACTTTATTGTTTCTGCTGATTTTTCTTTCTGCTTTACACTTGGGCTGTTTTGTCTGGATTAGCTCTTCAGGGGTATTCCCCAAAGGAGGCAGGAGTCGCTTCTTACTGTTTCGGTTTTCTGAGAGCCACTGTGGAGGCAGCTCAAAGGGTCCAAAACCAAACTGCATGGAATACTTATCATTTACTGTATCAGCTTCTGTGGGCACAGCTGGCGCCACCTGAGCTGCAGAGTCTGCAATCGTCTGTGGTATAAATTTGTGAACCAAAGTCTCTCCTACCTCTAAACTGGTGGTAGGAATTTCTTTCTGTTGAAAGTCACCAGAGCCAATGGATTTGGTCTCATTCTCCTCATCTTCCATTGGCTTGAAGATTTGTTGTTGCCCAATATGAAACATCTCCAGAAGCTGGCTCCCCGAACGGACACTGGGCTCCAAATTAGCATCTGCAACACCACCCGAGGTGACAACGTTTCTCCTGCTGTACCTTCGGTGCAGCTGTACTATTGTCCCCACTAAGCACTTCCGTACTGATTTGTTAACAGTTAAAAATAACAAAGGATTGGCCAGCAAAGAGACCTTGGGCAACCAAATGGCAGTGAGGAGCAAGAAGACTGAAATATCTGAAATATTGAGTATGGTGCGGTAAATCACCAAGGTCACGTAGGGAACACTGCAGAAAATAAATACCATAACCATGGAAAGCAGCATGGCATGAAGCTCAGCTTCTCGCTGGGAGGCGTAGGGGATGGAAATGGTGTTCTGAGGGGTCCTTAAGGCAGCTATGATGACTTTTTTCTTCTGGCTGGCACTCAGTGCCCTGCGAATAAGAATCATAAAGAGAAACACCACAGCCACTGGTACAATCACAGTGGTGATGTTATAGATGATGACATATATCAGGTGGCCAAGGGAGTAACTCCAAGATTCAGAGCAGGTGGACATGGCATAAATGTCAGACACATTGGTTACAGCAAATACTGGAATGCTGGCCACTATTGCATGTGCCCACATATAGATAACCAGGTCTCGGGATTTTGCATCAGATATTTTTCTTTCCAGCGGGTATAGAACAGAGTAGTACCTGTCAAAAAAAAATAAAATTAAAAATTACAACTCATACAATGCAGAGGGTGAAGTCTATAATGAGCATACTACTTATAAGAAGCCTCTCAGGATCTGTGTGTAATGCCTCAAATCCCCAACCAGATTGTCAACTGACTACCTGCCCATGAGAGGCAAAAAAACCCCACAAGGGGTCCACCTTTGCAGGTCTGACTGTGGAAAAAAAATGACTATTCAAACTTCAGGATCACATTATTGGTGGTGAACAATTCAATAACTGGGACTACATCACTTTATTTTGAAGATTTCGTCATTTACTGGTTAACTGGACAGTATACTGCACACAGCACAAAGTATCAGAAAACGTGGTGGAGGCATACATAGGTTGCACTGAAAGATGAGACTCATAGTTAATTTGAAAAGCTGCTTTACGATAGATTTTTTTTTTCCTCTGGATATTTGGAAAAGGCTGCTGGTCGCAAATTATATGTACCCATCTACTGAAGTACAATGTGGTTTTGTTCTACACAAGCTCTGGTTGGCAAGGGCCCGAGCAAGAGAGTAGCCAAACACTGAACATTCTGTGTGCATTTAAAAAACCAAAAATTCCATTTCTGACATGCACTTCAAATTTCAGGCACTGATTCATTGTTTGCTTACTACTGTGGACTTTGAAGCTCACTGAATTTTCATGGGAGACCTACCTTTTTACACTTATCAGCATGCGCAGCAAAAGTTTGTGTTTTTTGTGAGGAAGATCCCTAGTTTTACTGGGGAAGGGTAAATGATACGCTGTTCCACTGGCAACACTGGTGAGCACTACAGATAGTGGTACTGCATTTATCAAGATATAAACATTAAAGTAAGAGACATATTATTTTATTAGGTAAACTGTTTTTCTACAGCTAATGTATTCTATGGTGAGACATGATAACAGACTAACAATAATTTAATCTAACATGTATAAACCCCTGTTTTAGTAATGTAAAATGTATTAAACCAGTATCTACCCTTCCTTAAAAATACCTAACTTGCAGTCACTGTCAAGATGATAGAGCTGTGCATTTAGGTGGGATCAATAACTGTTAATAATAATAAGCAAAATGAATGGAATCCAAAAACTTGGACAGTCCAAAGGGCCGCTTTTTGCTTTAGACTGATCTTCTACATACAAAACCTCTCTGAATGTATTCTGGTTGTATTAATATTGTTTGGGGTTTTTTTTTTAAACAAATCTACATTTGAAATTGATGGACAATCTGCCTCAGATTAGTAAATTCTTCTATCAGGCAATTGCTGTCAACTTCCACAGTTAAAAATGTTCACCTTGTCTATAGTCTGAAGTTGTCTGCTTTCAAGTTCCATTACTTAATAAGAATTATTAACAGGAAGAAAGAAAGGATAAAACCTTATCTGAAGACAAACTTACAGACTCAAAGTCCCTTATAAATGTCCAAAGATATCAAAGGAAACTGAAAAACAAAGGTTTTCAACATTACAGAGAAGAGTATTTACCCCAATACATTCTAGAATAAGCTGTGCACTGTGAGCAAAGCTGGAACAAGAACAAAACCAATATGAAACAGGGAAAAGAGTTCCAAAGGGAGAAAGAAGAAAGAAAAATCGAGGATCCTGGCAAATTTGCTCTCTTACCTGTCAAGTGCAATGGCTGGAAAACTAAGGATGGTCACTGAGCAGAAGACTTTGTGTAGAAACTTGGCAATTCTGCAGAACAGCATTGTATAGATCCACCAGCAGCAGTGTGGACTGGCACTGAGAGCAATGTCAAAAGGCACACAGACCAGGCTGGCACAGATCCCCGAGCAGGCCAAATTCTTAATGAATCGGTTTGTTACAGATTTAAGTACCGACGTTCTGCAAGTTGACCACAGCACCATGATGTTACCTGCAAGAAAAGACAGGAAGGACAAACAAATTAAAAAAACCCCAAAACCCAAGCAAACAAACACCACCCTCCCAAAACCCAACAACGGCAATTTTAATAGATTTGAATGTTCCCTAGTACTGCAAATAAAAATACTTTTTCGGAGTTTGCCAGGAGTCACTCATTTGAACCAACACACTGCTCAAATTAAAAAGTCTGTATTGGCTAGTAGCTTAATAAATCAGATGACTGAAAAGAATTACTCCCCAGCAATCTCCTCCCAGCTTCTAGTAATGAATGAATTAGGGAATTTCAGCAGCAAATGCCTAAGTAGGATATCCAAACCATGTTTTGAGATTCTTATGTTGACTCCTGCATTAAGTTAGTCATCCTGAGTACTCAAATATAGAAATTTGCTAAATGCTCATATTTTAATACCAAGTGGATAATCTTTTTTAAAAATAAAAATACACCGTAAGTAAATAAAATAAATGTAAGTATATGGGTTTAATCCGCTTGTCTCTGTGTGTAAGTGGATCGCAGCAGTTTGTTTGTCATTCCACTGGCTATTTCAACAGATCAGACAGGCCCGTGTGAAGCCACAGCCAGAAGAAACTTTTCTTTTTTTTTTTTTTCCCCCAAAAGATTCTAGATCTACATAGTAACATGTAATTAAACAAATAGCACAGGCACAAAACAAAACAAAACAAAAAAAACCAAAAAAACTTGATGCATGTAACTTTGTAACAGAAGTACACAGAGAATGCAACCCACTGTTTTGGACATGGCAGCCCTACACTTTTGTTTCAAACAGGGTGAATCCATGCCAGTGACACAGAAGTAGAGAGAAACCAGCATTAGCTAAGATAGTATTTTCCCTTATCATTGTATCTTTTTCTACCCAGATCTCAGAAAGAAATATCATATCAAAGAAACAATTTTTCCATCACAAATTTCCCTGTGATCCTAACAAACATAGCAACTGCACAAGAGTCAATGAAGCAATCTGTTCTTACTCTATGGAGCTCTCAGCCCCTTCTACAGCATACCAAGATGCCAGGAAACTCGCACTCAGAATACATGATTTTATCTCTCCTTTAAAAGCCTGTCTTTAGCAAGACGTATGCTTTTTTTCATTAATTAACTAAAAAAAAAAAAAAGGCGTGCTACCAGGAAAAAAAAAGGCTTAAAAGAACTGTGCAAAAATGAAGATGAATTTCATATTAAAGTCTTGGCTCAGGCTCCAGCACTTAACGCTTGAAGATTTTAGTGCCATCTTCAGACAAGGCATTTTAAGACTGACTGGCAGCAACAGGAAACACAAACTTTCCAAGTGTGTTAAAAGTGGAAGGCAGCAGATGAACGTGCAAGGCAACCAGAGCAAGGCAGCAGCGCACATTTTTAAAGACACATGCAGATCATAGATTTCTAAGCAAGCTGTCCAGTTGACAGTGAAAGGTGCCCAATGTTCCAACTAAATGTTTGTCACATAAACATCATGTTTTTGCACCACAAAAACATGCAAAGATTTCTCAAGGGTTTCACAAGCATTCTTTGTGTGCTTAGAAGGCATCAGAGTTATTTTCAGAAAGCATTCACCCTTTTATGAAATGATCTGACAAAGAAATGAAAGCAAACGTACTTTGTACAACTCCCCCTAGTAATTCTTCACTGTGGTTCTAATGGAGAAAAAAATCTCTAGTGTAGCCCATATCTCTTGATCATACTCTCCCCTAGCTAATCAATTCTAATGTAGTTCATTAAATACCTATCTTTCCTTAAGACACCAAGCAACAGACAGTCATTCAATCATCTTACCAGACAGCAAACACAGGACAAAAATAAAATGTAATAGCTCAGTGCATGAGATTGATTAAACTATGTTCAAATTTTCATACTGAAGAAATACTACAATCATTCTTTGTTATCCACTTCGCTGTGCACTACACAAAAATTTTCCTGAATGACAGCTATCAGTCAATTAGTAAAATTCTCAGCATTGCCCAAATTATGGAGCTGTGCTCAGTGCACAGCCCATGTGTGAGCCAGTTGTTTTGCAGTAGCAGTAACTACATGGGAAAGGCCAGTATCACCTTCATAAAATGTGATTGTTCTTTATTTTATTTCTCCTGGAGACTTACTGTGCAGTGCCACCAGATCAACCAAAGCAGAGCTACCAGCATAAAAATACTGCTTGACGAGACAGCTCCAGCTGAACAGCAATGAAAAGCAGGGTTTAGCTTCCTACCTCCAAGAAAAGTTAAGTTGTTCTTACTGTAGACTATATCAACAACCGCATCTTGCTGATACTAGATATTGTTGACATGTACCAGAAGCTCTTTTGAGTTGAAGTGTAATGGATTTATGAGGCAGTCAGATTTGTTAGTGTTTTTGTAGGTACCCACAAATATACACAATGAGAGAAAACATCACCTTAAGCTGCTGATTGAGATACGAAAAAGCAGCTGCAGCCCTCCACACCTCGCTGTTGACACTACCATTCTTTGACTTGAGTTTTCCTCTAACCAATTAAAAAAAAAAAACAAATGGTCTTTTACTTGCCGAGTATAGTTTTCTATGGTTGCCCGTATAAAATGCCAGCAAGATCATATTTCCATTCACATGGCCAATGTGTACACCAAGCAGCAAGTAGCTAGAAATACCAGAAAATCAAGTTCAGCTTCTTGATAAAACAGTGCACTGTTTCAATAAAAGCATACAACATTAACTTTAAAATCTACCTCACAGACATACTATTCCGATCTAGAGTGTTTGAATGTCATTTGGAATTCAATTTTCTATATATTGTGTCATGTGTCTTATGCAAATTCTTTTTGGTAGCTGACAAAATATTGAGTTACGTATTTACTATCTGATGTGTTTTAAAGAATGGAATCATCATCTGGTTTTGGCAGGTGCTTTGGTCTTGACAATATATTCCACAGGCAGAATTCAATCAGTTGTATTTAAAGCTTCCTGAGTTGCTAGGAGATATTCAGTCAATCAAACTGCTTGCATTCAAAAATATCTCTGACTCTTCAGTTATTAAAGAAGTACTTCTCACATAGTAATAATATATTATTACAATGCTCTGGACTAGGAGAGAAACTGGGGGTTTGGTTAGGTTATTTTTAAAATTTAAATATTTCATCTAGTTTGAATTGCATTGATTTAAAAACCTTACTTCCAAGGCAAGTTTCACCTCCATTAGAATGCATAGAAATGAAAAATGGAAAAATAAAAGAAATCAGAGGGATTTCATTAATACTTCAGAAGCTGTTAGAGAAATCCTGAGCTATTCTTTGGGGTGCTACAGAGGAGCTTCATTCAAAACTCCATATTCTCAACTGTTTAATTACTTCCACAAATTATGTCATCATCTATACACCAGAGTCACAAGGAAGTGAAATTAGCTCTGGTCCCGGCTGATCCTCAATGGAAGTGAAAAGAAAAAAGCATTAAAAAAAATATTGATTCTATGAGAAGGAAGAAGTCTTTAGACAGACAAAATAAAGTCAGAGACTTAAAGGGGAAAAAAACAATAAGCAGATGAAGTGTCCACTTGGGACACCGGAAAATTAGTGACTGAATATCCCTTAGGGAATCATTCTTCTTCCACTTGCAGCTGTGGGTAACTTGTACACTAGTAAGCTGCTCTGATGAACCAGATCAGCTTCAGTGTAGACTGGTAGATCTTTCTGCTGATGCCTTCAAATCAAGTATTTCCCTTCATGGATCTCAAATCCACCCACTCAGAGAAAAAATTATACCACAAACTTTGCAAGGCATTAAACATTAAGAAACTTCAGAACAAAACTGCATTTGCCATTTCACTGCTTCTCACCTTTCCCCAGCAACTCCTTTCCATGGAAGAGGATAACAACCTTCCAGGCAACAAGGTAATTCAACAAGTATTACAGCAATTGCCCTCTGAATCTTTTCACATTGTCTAGAGGCACTTTTCTGCTCTGGATGTATTAGTCATTCACTGTTGAAGCTGTGAAAGGCACTAGTCTAACACCAGTATTCTCCTTGTCTTGCAACCATACTGGGCTGTTGCATATCCCACGGTGGGCAAAGCTGTGATTTTCTGCCGTGGGTTAGTTTTTGGGGTGTTTCTGCTAGATAACTGGTCTAGGGCTACATAATCTTGGATTCAAACATAGCAACTTGCTGGTTCCTGTAAGTCAATACTGCTTTGGACATGAGTGTCACTTATAACCAGCATATCCCATACTGGTTGCACACAATTCCATCACCAGAAGAGAAAGATGAAGAGTTTTTCATTTGAAAAGGAAAAGCCTATCGTTGGGCTGTATCTGACAAGTATCCAACTTGTCTGTGTCTTTGAAAGTTTCTTCAAGTTAAAAAAAGGACCAGGAAATACTAAAGGTAACCACTGCATGAGAAGCAGCTCTTTTCACATTAGAAACAAGCACAGACATAAAGCCTGCCAAACAAGGTCAAACAGGGTTTGTTCTATCCTCATATTATGGTGAGTATCAACATTCAATAAAATCTCCATGCACTATATACCAATTCTACTGTATTCATACTGAAAGGGTGGTTGCTTCCAGTCATCCCCTTACACTTCTTTTTTAATTGAGAAATACCACAGATAAGCAGCCACACAGTACATGAAGTTGCACAGAAGCACAGTGAGAAAGTAAATTCAAGAATGGTCCAAGACAGCATGCTGCCCAGACAGCGTCCTTTAAGCCTTTGTAGTGTTTCAAGATCATTGAATCTACAAGGAGTAACATGCTCTGGGCATAAAACGTTATCAGAGTGCATTAGTCTGATTCAAAGCAGCAAAACATATTTTTTGCTCCGCTTCCAAGCTGTACCCTCCTTGGCTTTCACTGCCAGACACAAAGTGTTGATGCAGGCATCAACAGCTGAGATAGTTTTGAAATAATAGCTCTCAGCAATAATTCAAATAATGTGAAAGATTCTTAACAATAACTTTAACAAGCAGAAGGATGATCCCCATGGAAACCAAAGACTGATATCTAAAACAA